AAAGTTTGCACTAGTCAACAAAAGAAGCTCAAAAAATTAAAAAGTAAAGCTAGATAGTTCACAAGAAGCATACAAAACTTTGCTTGAACAATATGAGAACTTTGATAATCTCAATGTTGAACTATCTACTAAAATTGAGCAACTTAAGGCTAGTGAAACAACAAATGCATGCACAACCAATGATGAGCAATTTGTAAAGAAAAATGAAAAATTAAAAGAAAAGTTAGCTAGCTCACAAGATGCTTATAAAAGTTTGCTTGCTAAAATGGAAACCATGTGCAAACATTGTGATGAGCTAACTAATAAAGTTGCTAATCTTGAAGCCATTAGTACAACCCCCACCAAGGCATCTAAAAAGAAAAGTTTTATCTTTAACATGTCTAAAAAGGATGCCGCTACTTGTAATGATTTATGTTTAGACTCACCTTTGTACAACTAAGTTTGTGTTGAGAAAGTTATTGTAGATACATGCACACAAGAGGTTGCAAAGGAGAATGAGCAACTCAAGCAAGAAGTAGCCCGCCTCACCAAGGACTTGACTCAAGTGAAAGGCAAGGCGAAGCAAGCCCAACTTCATCAAGATAACACCACCAAGGGAGTGAAAAAGCTTGATGAAAGACAAACCGTGGTTTGCTACATGTGCCACAAGGAAGGTCACAAGTCCTATGAGTGCAAGGTGAAGAATGGGGGAGGAGCAAAGAAGAAAGAGAAGAATCAAACAAGCAAGCTCTCCAACATCTACACCAACAAGGTGGACAAGAAGGCCTCCACACCATACTTGTTAAAGAAGAAGAAAAATGACAAGGTGGTGGCCATCAAGGTGATCAAGCAAGCCAACAATGGGGTCAAACGCTTTTGGGTGCCTAAGGAAATCATTTCCAACATGAAGAGCACCAAGAAGGTTTGGATCCCGAAAGGGAAGTGAGAAGTTCGATGGACATCGAGGAATTTAGAGACTTGGCAAAGTATAGGTGTATTTCATGGGGTGCATCATTATGGACAAAATTATTGCCAAGTAGGTTAGTGAATACTTTGGACCCAAAATCCCCTTCCCATGTTAGGTAACTAGATTCAATTTCCTTCAAGTAGTATCAATTTGCATTTTCTACAAGTGGTATTTCTTACAAATTGGTATCTTTAAGCATCTAGTTACTTTTCATACCTATGTTTGCATTTGCATGCTTATATCTTTTGTCATGCATACACTAGGTATATCTTATGGTAGGCTTGCTCGGTTTCATTCTTAACCCTTGGAGCAAACCTACATGGTTTAAAATTGTTTAGAAGCACGGCACATAGCTTGTCTTACAATTGTTCATCTAATATGTGCCAAAGTCCAAATTGTAGATAATTTCTCCTGAATATCATCTTTGAAAATGATTCACACATTCTCATTATGTCATCTTTCAAGTGGTATTATTGATTTTAAAATCAATGTGCATGTCTTCTACAAGTTTTTCACACTTGTGTGCACAAATTTAGGGGAGATGTTACTCTATAAGTTGGATGCTTTGAGACTAACACCTTTTTCAAGCTTATCATGTGTGTAGTAGTCTCATTGCAAGGAAAATAGAGTCCCTGGAGTTAGGCATCATACTTCAAGTATCCACCACATATTACAAGCGGTAGAAATCAAATTGGTTTTCACATATGGTATTTCTAAACCGATATCATCATGTTGAGTTCATTTTGATATTTATATGTTTTCTTCATGTATTATATAGATTAAATTCCCTTGAGCAATAATTTGCCAAATATACATATGCCTTGCTTTCTACCATATGTATGCATATATTTAGGGGGAGCTTAATTTATATAATGTGAGAGTCAAATTTTGTGACCTATTCCACTCTACACACAAAGGATCACAAAGGTTGACCCTCCCTTGTGCTACTAATGTCGTCCTTTTTGTGTTTGATTCCAAAGGGGGAAAATTTAGAGGACCAAAAGCAAGCATTAATTTGTAGGGCCATAAGCTATATCATAATAATTTATAAAGTGGTAATGGCCTACAAGTGGTAATGGTCCGAGAAATGGAGGATAGTGGATTATGGATTAGTCTATGTAATAAGGAGAATTTGTAGGAATTTGTGGCTTAAATCCATAATACCACATGGGGATTTTTGCAAGGGCAAGATAAGTGTTCAAGTGGTATCTTTTAGTCTTACAAGTAGTATCTTTTAGCATCATATAACCTTGCCCCTTGCATTGCATCCTAGCAAGTAGATAGTTTTTTAAATTCTAAATTTTTATTATTTGCTTGCTTTGGTCGTGTTGTCATCAATCACCAAAAAGGGGGAGATTGTAAGAAAAATAGAGCCTAGGCCTATTTACTTTGGATTTTGGTGTTTGATGACCAACACAACCAAATTGGACTAATAAATTTATAAGTGATTGTTTTGTAGTTCAATAGGATGCAAGACATGACTTGGACGAAGGCGACGTGATGATCCAATGATCAATACCATAAGTAAGACCTTAGAAGCACAAGAGAAGACCCAAGATATTAAGCAAAGTCCAAGCATGAAGATAGGAACCAAGCCATACGCAAGATCGCGAAGAAACGAGCTCAAAGAAGTGACCGGACGCTGGACCGGACGCTGGTAGCACAGTGACCGAACGCCCGATCAAGAGGCTCGGCAGCAGCAGTGACCAAACGCTGGACCGGACGCTGGCGGCAGATCGACCGGACGCAGGACAACAGAGTCCTCGTCCATTATTACCCAAGGGCGTTCCGATCTCTACGGCCTTTCGTTTTCCGATTGGGAGAAGAAAGGCCCGAAGGTGTACGACATGGGTCTGGCTTGTGGTACAACATGCCTCCGACTCTGATTGCACGCGCGGCGTGTGGCGGCTTACATACGGCCTACCCGTTCCCTCTCTATAAAATGCAAAGGGAGATCGAGGAGCCGTCCAAGTTACAACCCTAGACCATCCGCCCTAGCTAGCTCTTCCATCGATCTCATCTCGTGCTGCCTGCGCACCTAAGAACCCGTGTTTGTGCTTGAAAAGGTCAATCCATCAAACCATGGAAGCCGAGGGCCCTACATCAAACCATGGAAGCCGGCGGTGAGCGCGGCGGGGTTCGTGGACCGCCTCGATATGCGGATGTGCATCAAGGTGTTTTTCGACCCGGACATCCACATCTACGACGAGTCCAACGACACGGCCAGCGCCAGGCACCTGTGGGCAAACTTCATGAGCGCCACGGAGTTCGTCGACCACCTGTGAGACGTGAGGCGGATCGTCGACGTCTTCTTCCAACATGGCCTCGACGAGGAGACGCGCAGGGCGACCATCGTGAAGATGCTACGCGAATCGTGAGGACAGAGCTACGGCGGATCGTGAGGACAGAGCTACGGCGGTCACCACCAGAAGATTCAACTTGTTCTAGTAATACTATTCAAATTATAAGTTATTCTAAGAATTTTAAAAAGTCAAAGTATCTCAAGTTTGACCAAAACTATAGAGAAAAATACAAAAATTTAAGATATCAAATAGTTATACTATGAAAATATATTTAATGAAGAATTCAATGATACTTAATTGATATCATAAATGTTATTATCTTATTATATAAATTTGGTTAAACTTGAGATGCTTTGACTCTTCAAAATTCTTGGAATGACTTATAATTTGAGATGGAGAGAGTAGTAGCTTTGCTGATTCATGACTTCCGATGGTATCTATAAATAAATAGATATATATGTTTGTAGATGTATGGTCGGAAACTTACTGTTACCATGTAGCGTTTTCATGGTTTCCATGTAGCGCATGCCGGAAGTTTAAGTTTCCAGGTCCCTCCCAGAGTCCCCTTCCTTTTCCCATCCATAATATTCCCCATAGAGACCGACCAAAAAAAACCCGCTCCAGCCATCTCGCCGCCCTCCCCATCCCAACGCCTTCCTCTCCTGCTACGTACGCATTCTACTCTATAGTTGTGTCATATTATTATTATGCTAACTTAAAAACGCGCATGATTTGGGGACTCGGCGTGCACACCTGAATCCACCGTCGATTTCAGCTGGTGCTCTCCTCGGCGTTTGATTCGCTGGCCTGCTCCGACGGCGCCTAGGGTTCCAACAAGGCCCCCCACCCCCTCCTTCCCCAACTCCAGTGGGCTTAGAAGGGGCCGCCCAGGGGGGAGGAAGGGCGACCAGGTGGTGGGATGGCCGGCGTGCGGTTTAGGGGAGCTGGCGGCAGCGGCCAAACCAAGTCGGAGCAGGGGCGCCATGGCCGGAGTTCACCGTAGGTTGCCATGGCCGCATGCGGGAGGGGCGGGGGTAGGAGGGAGGGGAAGGAGGTCGCCGCCGATGGTAGTTCTCGCCGGAGCTCCATGACCACGACCGACGGAGCTCTCGACGAGACTACCGCTGGCGGCAGGCCGGTGGGGGGTGGTGGAGGCAGGGGCTTGACTGGATCTAGATGCGGGGGCACTCTCGCGGCCGGCATGAGAGGAGGGGGGGGGAGAGAAGAAGGCGGGGCGGGGCTATGGGGGGAAGAAGAGGAATAGTACAAGGCGGGAGAAGCGTGTGGGCGTATTCTTATGACGTCGTAACTGCTGCACCTACTGATCTGAGTCCAGTTGTACGTATTGATTTCCCTTCTGTTGTGCAATCCAACAAGCCTCTGCCAAATTCTCCAAAGCAGGCCTGATGATATAGTTTTGACTTTTGACACATTTACATACTTCTGGCAACTGTATGGACCGAGTATACATACTGTAGTATCCGGATGCCCCTGCCTCCTACCTCCTGATCCTGGCCTCTAACTTCTATGCAACCATCATACAGACATGTTACTGCAAAATGAAACGAAGTTATGATACAATGTTCTACAAACAACTGCCAGCGCCAAAATTCCTTAAATATAGGCAGTGGACAGCACCACGTGATCTACATACACCAGTCTGCGAAGGGCAACCTAGTAGTAGGTTCAAATTCCATCTGCTGCCTCCGCTGCTTCGATCGGTTTTCACCCAAAGGTACAGATGTAAGAAATCATTTTGCCACCGGGCTTGAACATTCGGGTCCGCTCTCTGTGGCAGTTATGCTGGACGACCCTGCAGATGTCACACTGCTGTATGACGAACGATTCGTTGGTTGGAGCTCTGTCTCTCGTTGCCTGTCCGAGGCTGCAGGTCTTTGCCCCTCGTCTGCTAATCTCTTCAAAATGTTCATTATAGTGGGAACAAACTTTGTGGACAGCGAAAGAATGGCTGGAAGCTGTGTAACATTACAAACATACCGATATCAGTCTGCAAGACCTTCAGGAGGCTTCAAAATAGAACAATAGGATTGTGATTTGAATACTCACAAAGCCATTTTGGAATTCAGTGGCAATGTCTAACTGTACCCAAAAGGCCTTCCCAACAAGGAAGACAACAAATATAACAGCCAGGTACAGGGGATTCCTGCCATCCAAAAGTCAGAAGTCAGGCCAAAACTGTAGATACCTTAATCATCGTTCATGTATGGTTCTGCAAACAAAATAAAATACCTCAGCAATGTCATAAATTCGTTGAATCCGAGGATAGCCATTGCGGCAAGCGCCCAGGGAGGTGGTAGCCAGTTGTTCCTCTTATTTGCTTCCTGATGAAAGCAACAATATGTGTTTAGCATCTATTACTTTTATATATGACAAACGTTAATACTGAAGTTGAGATGACAGTCAATACTTCCAGAGAATAATGCACAAAATAAACGAATTTGAGATGATCGACGCTAGAGTTCTTTGTCGCTCACAAGTCACAATGAGCACTTCAGAAATGGATCTTGTGGGATACCTGAGCAGCTATAGCCTGAGTGACTGTATATTCTGTTTCAGCTTTAAATTGCCTCCACAAAGATTTGCACTGGACAGGGCTAATTATAGTTTTCTCCTCAGGAACCTGCACATTAATGACACCCTGTTAGCAGCCCCCAAAACATCTACACTGTGCTAAAGATATTAAGAGCTAGAGTTTTACTTTAGGACTTCAGCAGAAGAGCATAATGTGGCACATTCCTTACCTTTTCCCACGAACTGGAGGCAAGTGGATCAAATGATTGAATACTTCTATCAGTAGTCCCAGGTCTTGAAGTATCAACAAGAGCAAGGGAGAGGACGTTTTCTATGTTGTCACCATCCTCATCCAACCGAATTGCAGCCAGTGTAGCAAGTAACTTCATGGACTGTAGTAAAATAGAGAATAGAGAATAATTTTCAGCTACTACAATAATCCATTTATGTTTCAAATATACAGTACTGACATTTGACCTACAGCTGAACGTGCAGTTTTAGTAATTGCTTTTATGTCCTCCTTTCCTGTCCACACCCTTGGCATTGAGTCAGCATCACGACTGAATAGAGTTGAGAACCTGCAAGTTTTTCCTTTTACAATGTAGCTTTGTACAGAAGATATGTCTCATTGTATTGTAGATATGCAGTGGAGCTCACCTGTCCTTCATACGAATCAGGACCCTTCCAGCCTCTTCTTTTGCTTTTGATTCCACAACGCTTCTTCCGTGGTTTTCCAGTTTCGCAAGCAATTCTTTATCAGTTGCTTCATCGAGTTCAAAAGCTGAAAGAGCAGATTCAAGACCTGAAATAGCAGCTTTTGTCTCACGTTGGAGCAGCTTTCTAATGGCTGACCAGGTATCTTCACTGGCTGAATCTAGCAGGGCTTCAACAGGTTCTGCCAGAGCTTTCGTAAGTTGTGCCTAAACAACATTCTAAGATTAGACAAGGATTCTATGTCTGTGCTATGACCATGGCATAAATAGACGAATTCGAAGAAGGGAGCAACCTCATATTTGGCACAAAGTTCTGATAATTTTGCTGCACGAACTGAAGCCACATGTGCTTCAATGTGACGCTTAAGCTTATCCTTAACTTTTGAGGGGTCCCATTTCACTTGTTGAATAGCAGCGTCTGTCAAAAATTAAGCTCATATGTAACACAAAATGTGTTTAGGTAGAAAAGGAGTGAGTTCAAAACTGAACAATTACATTATTTTGCATAGGAGTCCACTCAAAAGTTTGTGTCCTGTAGCAGCTAATAATATTAAGTTGTGTTTGACAGCTGTTAAGTACCTCAGACAATCAACAGTGTCTATCAATTTTAATAAACTAAAACACCAACAGCAGATACATAATTGTTTCATTGTAAACCTATCAGCAGGTCTATTTTACTCTGCAGTTGGCTGGTAAATTCACCAGCAGAACCAGAAATGCACCTGCCTGTTTGTCAAAATTCCATACTTAAATGGAGAACAGGAAAATGTGCAGCAAGTACTTACTACTGCTAAATGGTTAGCTGTCTGTTGATGACTCTTTTAGAATACTTACTGCTTGTTGAAAGCTGGCACAGAGCGGGAGCTCTCTGCACTGGGTACGCCCTTTTTGTTGAAAGCTGGCCTGCTCAAGCTATGGTTTTGGACTCTGAATTTTGAATTTCTAAGTCACTAAGTCATACTTCTAGCCTAAAGATACCATGAGGAAGTTAATAGATAGCATTCCAGAAACTGTACCTTCAGATCCTTTATCGAACTTTTCTAAGAAAGTCTGCGTACAATCACGAGCTGCAATAGCAAATCCCTCCTTTGTGAGGGCCCTGTCAAAGGACTCCTTAAATTCTTCCACAATTCTAGTCCGTAAATGACCCAGAAGCGATTGGTATGCAGGATTGACAAGCTAGAATGAAGGCATCCAAAATATGTGTTAGAACAACGAAAAACATAAGCAGCACATGAGAATATGAGATCAAAATAGTGATCACAAACCCAGTTGGGATCATGCAACATCTTATAAGAAATAACAAAAGTCAAGGCAGAAAGTGAATTTCACTCTGCTACCAATCAGTTACAGAAAACAGGGTAATCAGTAGAAATGAGATCAATATTTGATCTCACATGATATTCCAGGTAACTAGCGTGCTGTAAGAATAATGATGGATCCATACCCTACACAATAAATACTTGCGTCAACTGGTGATCAATCCCTCTGTGTATGTCATTTTGGGCAAGAATCAGTTGAAGTTGAACTTTAAAATTTGGCTACAAAGGTAGGCAGTTATATCTTGACTCACCTAATGGTAGTAATACTAATGTCCATAGCAAGAAAACATCATACTATATATACTTTTAACTAACATGTTGTGATAGAGAAGTAGCAAACTGCCTCTTGGAGACTGTCGGGTTCCAAAACGCCAAACATTTGTATACAGTTACGAAATGCTAGGTAGCTAGGACATCTATGTAAAGGGGAGTAAATATGAGGAAGTGAGGTAAGGCACATCTACTATTTTATACATGGTTAATTGTGTTTACAACCCAAAAAAACAAAAAGGTGCAACCTGCAAGAGTTTAGACTCAAGTTGTTGTCTTTTTGAGGTTCTGACGCCTTCGTCAAAATATATAGCCTCCATGTCATACCTGCGATCAAAGAAGTTAATCGTCAAGATGATGTCTTCTTTTCCATGTATGCAAAGAAACAAACAATGTTTGCATTCCCTTTGGACACAAAATTAGATAATTCATCAATAAGGAAAAGGCATGCTTTACAGACTGTTTCATCCCTATGCCAACATCAAGCTCGATTACCATTAGAAGTTCATTACCCTAACAAAATAAAGGAATAGACAGGGTCCCAAACCAGGATATGCCCCTGGACTCTACTGTTCTGAAGTATAATTAGTAAAGAACCTAGAGTTCAATTGAGAGCCCATGAGACACTTCTCTCTTGGATAGAATGGCTAGAATTGGACTCTCTCTACTAGAAAAGACTGACAGTGCTCAGGATCCCACTACCAGCTAGTCTGAGCGGTAATGGCAGGAGCCAGTCATCATGTTTTCTTAACTTTGGGAATACCACAAAAGGAATAAGAGAAAACATTACTCATAAATACTAAAGAACTCACTCAGATAAACATCTGTCAAGAAGGCTGCTGAGTTTTTTCCCAAACCCAGGTACATAGCCATGTTGAACAGCCTCTTCAACTTGTAGCCATTCCTTAACATATATAAAAATTTAGGATCAGTGTATCCAATCTCTGTAGCGTGTATCAAAGCACAATATGCAGTTTAAGTCTATAATCACCTCATCAGCTGTAAAACTGGCAAGTTTCTCATTACCAATTTCCTCACAACGTACAGTAGCCACCATAACCTGAATCAATGCATAGAAAAATATATTAATATACATGATGCTGATAGCTCAAATTTGAATAGCAGAGGGTACTCACTTTATGAGCGGGTAGATCAAGGTCTTTGTTCTCCTTAATAACCTTCCAAAACTGCTGTGAACTAAAATAAAAACCTGAAGCTGGGACAACAGCACGGCGATCACCAGCAAGTCCACCAGGAGCAATCGAATGCTGAAATCTATCTCTTAAATGGGAAACCTTCAGAAAAAGTCATGTACTATTAGACAAAATCCTTGGGAGATTAGGAGTATAGGCATAGGCATGTATTTAATAATTTACGGTTACACCAACCTGCTCCTTGAATAACTCTTCTTTTTCCTCATAACTTGATAAAGCCACAACTTCTACCTGGATGTAGGATTGACAGTAACTCCACCATATTCAACAAAGCGAACAAAGACTAGATTAAGAATTTTACATTGAAAAATTCACTGAGTGGAGTTTCTTTATGGGCATGGGGTTTAGGAACAGCATCCCATATCTGCAGAATAACAAAAACAGCTTAGCACACTGAAAAAAACAAAGAAACATCAGGCACAACAAATAATCAAATGAATACCTTCTGAATGTCTTCCCTTAGAATAGGTTCAAGATTTTCAAGAGGTGTCTGTCAAACCCAAAAACAGCAGTCATTACTTTACATAGACATAGCTAGATTGGAAAGAGAAAAACTAAGAAAGTTAACAGTTGATCTGCATCCTATAGTAGTTGTAAGTAGCTTAATATGCAATAGCAGATCCTCACCTTTGATTTGTCACGAATTACAAATAATAATGTTGTTTTACGTGGACTGAACAACCTCATCATGACCTACACAGATAAACAATTCCTGAGGACATGTAAAGCCTCGCAGACAACTAAAGGGTAATAGATAAATAAAATACAAAAATCAAGACTTCAGCTTCAACAGTGTAACCTGGAAAACGGTCTTCAAAAGAGGTTTGTTTGCAGCCTGTTCTCTGCCAATGTCATGACACCACCTATGGGAGGAGGGGGGAAATTTGCTCAATTGTACAATGGAATAATAGGTCCTGCATGCATCACTTAACAGAACAAACTTACATATTGATAAGCACAATGTCCGAAACAGCCAAAGCAAACAATGCACTTTGCTTCTCAAAGGCTGTGTCATCCTGAGATGAAATAGATGAAGTACATGTCATACAGGCACAATGTGGAGTAAAAGCTTTGGAACACAAAATCTAACAAAAATCATTAATCCTGACGTCCATGAGCAATCAGATTGGTCAGCATGAACCAATTTCGTCTTCAGCTTGTGCACTTATAAGCTGATGAAGCAAGGATGTAACAGACAGCGCATTGTTTGGCTTATCTAATAAGCTGGAGTCCTTCCACCAAAAAGTTATAATAAGACAAACTCAAATCAATGAGGATAGCATTGCAGGCTTAGCTCAAAAGGTGAAAGTAAATATAGGCTGCCTTATTGAAGATTCCCAAATGACTTTTAAGCATGCAGTTTATGTGGCACTGCTAGCACGTTCTGAAATTAGTGTTCCAAAAATAGGCCTGGTCGCATAAATAATCAGCCAGTTAATCTTGAACGTACCCACCCCAGTTATTACCCAGTTAATGATAATTCAGGTGGCCTTGCTGGTTACTGTTTAAAAGGCAGGTTAGGGTTAGTACACTAGAATACAATTTGGCAGCTCCGCCCATTAGAGCTTAATGATCATATTATGACTTCTGCATTGATCATTCCAACATCCACTGTTCATAATTTCTTATTTTTAATTAAAAGCTAATTTCTTATTTTTAATTAAAAGCTAACAGGGGTGCAATAGGTTCAGTTATATGGCATTGGATTTGTATACATAAATCTGACAGGAATCAGGTTCCAGGGTGATTCTCATTACTCACTACAAGGTCCTGTGAAGAAATGATAGTGGTTACTAAGTGTTAACACATTGGTTCAAATTACTTGCACCCCACCCACCCCAAAAATTAAAACAAAAATCTAAGTATCTTCGTTTTCATTACCTCTCCCTCTCTCCTTCATCAGTTCCTTCCAAATCTAATACAAGAGCTTAACGACTGTATTATGACTTCTGCCTTGATCATTCCTACATCCACTGTTCATAATTACTTAGTTTTAATTAAAGGCTAACAGGAAGGCAATAGATTCATTTATATGACATTGGATTTGTATACATAAATCCGACAGGAATCAGGTTCCAGGGTGATTCTCATAGAAGTGATACTAGTTACTAAGTGTTAGCACACTAGTTCAAATTACACGCACCCCACCCCACCCCAAAAATTAAAACAAAAATCTAAGTATCTTCGTTTTCATTACCTCTCCCTCTCTCTTCCATCAGTTCCTTCCAAATCCATTACAAGGGTGCATGGCTCAATGTTTTGGGCCTTTGCTAACCATATACCTTTAGTAGTTTGTGACCTGAAAAATTCAAGAAATGTTACCAAAGTTACAGACAAGAATAGATTCCACAAAAGCCAGGAAGTTCCTGCTAAGAAAAGACACATAAATTTGAAACAATAAGAACATGCCTTCCTTTGAAAGCGTCCATCTCTCTAAAATTCGTGCCAAAAAGATGATTCAAAAGTGTACTCTTCCCTGAAAAAAGGTGGAGGCAGCGATATAATCAGATGAAAGAAAGTGTTCATTAAACAGTAAGAAAAGAACGAGGAAAGGAGAAAACCCATACCACTACTTTGTGGGCCCATTATCGATACAACAGCATATGAGAGCCCGCATTCACCCAATTTAACTTCCTTCATGAAATGATCCAATCCAGAAACATTGAAGACCCCATCACCGTCAATGAGCTGTGTCGAGAAACATGCATCCCCCATTTCTGCTCTGGAGGATAGCAATATATGGACGAAAGGGGGAAAAGCCTACAATTGAAAGAAAAGAGAATATGACTGCAGCACATCGCTTGCCTCCAAGATTTCTCCAAAACAAAATGTGAGAGAATAAAGACACAAAGCTCACAGCAACAATACTCACTTGTCAAAAAAAAAAAAGAACACAGGTATTTTAGGGCTTTATATAAGCTTACAGCAACAATACTCAATTGTACAGAATGGCAAGCAGTTTTTTGCCATGCCCCAGCAAAACCAAACAATGCAGCATATTGAGCTTACTATTTAAATTTTCCACAACAAAAAAAAGGAAGTAAATGACCGGTTATGATTGTACTATGCCTTGCAAATTGAACACCAGAACAGGAGGATTAAATGTGGGGTGAGAGAGAAAAGTAGTATTCGCACCATTATAAATGTTACTGTACCAAGGGGCAAACTGATGGATGCGTGCTCTAACTCGCCTTGCTTTGTGTCTACCTACGGTTCAATACTACAATTATTACTGCAGATCGCACACAGTACAGTACAAGCTCACAAGAGGGGCGGACTGTACACACGATATTTTTTTGCCAAAAAAACGAAAAAGAAATTTGTAGGCATAATACATATTTACTGCACTTGTAATTGGATCACATCAGATCCGAATATAGACAGCTTGGGTTTGGGTGCTCCGTTTCGCACGGCAGGAACGGAAAGGGGTGGGCGTACCTGGTGGTGCTCGTCGCCGGCGAAGGTCCCGAAGATGGAGATCTATGCACCTGCGTAGGGAGGCGGCGGCGGCACAGCCGTCGCTACCAGACACCGATAGAGCGCATGCGAGGGGCACCGAGCGAGTGTTGTGCCCGGGAGCGAACTGGAGAAGCCGCACGCCGCAGGGTGGTTACGGAGTGTAAAGAATTTTGTATCAGTCAGTTTATTTAAAAAATATATTTGTCAAAGATTCAAATAATCTCAAGATTAACCAAATTTATATATAAATAAAATAATAATATTTACGATACCAAATAGATATTATTAGATTCTTCATTCTTTGTTAATTATATTTTGTTTGTATATCGATGGCATAAATTTTTATAATTTTTTCTATAATTTTGGTAAAACTTGAGATTTTTTAACTCTCAAAATATTGGAATGATTTATAATTTGAAATGAAGGTAATAGAAAACATGCATTTCAAGCAGATTTAGGCCTGGATATACACAAGTGTCGGTAAACACAGAAACCCGGTATCTGTTTACACTTAATTCAATCTAAATCTAATGTTGAGTTATTTTTTTTCCAGTGCGTGTCATGTTGGGCCGAAGTTTTTCAGTGTCAAAACTTGAGGCCCCTACCTGATCTAGCAGTTGTTACGGATTAAATATATACAGAGAGAGAGTGTGTGTGTTTGAGTCCACCAATACATTAGTAAGAATAGCTTGGCCTGGACTATGATGGTAGACTTGTGAAAATTACATCTAGAATTATGTCCTAGTACTAGTAGTTCGTTTGGATTTATAAAAAAGTGTTTCTAGGCCTTTGAGTCGTTTTTTGTGTTATAACAAGATAGTTATAAATATTAATGATTTAAACTGAGATAAAGTGCATATTGAAATGTATTGATGATCCCGCCCACAATTTAGATCGAAATAGAATCATTAAGGGTTATTACCTAGAGTTTTATTCTTTTATAGTTTGCATTTCGAGTAATAGATACACCATATTTAAACCAACTTCGGTATTCAGCCCTGCTGGATCCTGTTAGTTGTTCTTTAGTCTATTGGTTGAAATGTCTGATTTGATACCGGTCTGGACAGAGTTTCTCGAGTGTGGGAAATTCTTTTTTCTAGTGGTTTGTTATTTTCTAGCCGGAATGTTGTGACATAATACACTGTGCTGTTGGATTTTGAGGGGTGGTATAAATATCATCAACTCCCTTTGTCCCATAAAGAATGTCAATCTCACTTTCGAAAAGTCAAGCATTATTCGCTTTGACCAAATATATAAGAAAATATTAATATTTAAGGTGCACAATTAGTATTATTAGATAAATTGTTGAATATTTTTTATAATAAATTATTTGGAGATACAAATATTGCTAATATTTTTGTTTATAAATCTAGTCAAACTTAAGAATGTTTGATCAGCATGAATCTCATAGCGACACTATTTTTGGAAACAGATGGAGTAACTTGGAACAAAGTTATTCATGAGATTTACTACTCTCTGACAACTCTTCAGAGTTCATGTTGGTGAGATCTGTTTATGATTTGGTGTGAGTGGATACCTACATAAATTGGAGCTTGAGATACACACTCCACTCCCTTTGCTCACTTGAGATCGTATTCGTGTGAGATTTGGAGTAATGTAGTGCATTGCAATAGAGTGTTTGCATCTTGTGGCACTAGAGATTCATCTTTGCTAAAGTGCTCTCGTTACTCTTGGTAGTTGTCACCCCTAGAAAACTTGGAGCTGTTGGATATTTGTTGGCGGTGCTTAACTCATATTTCTACCGCCAACATTTAAACAAAATAAAACAAATATGAATACCGAAATTTAGAATTAGGGATTACAACTCATATTTTCCACGAGTTTTGGTATATACATATTTTACAGGGCAACACGTGAAAATGCACCAAAATACGTAATCGAGAAGGTGCATTCAAGCAAAACATATGCAAAAGCCCATTCATACTCCACATCAGGGTAGAACACCAGCACAGCAAAGGCCTAGGCCCAGCCAAGAGCCCACCCACCGCCCCCAGCTCCGCCCGGTCCCACCTTGCTCAGGCGGTCATTCAATGCTGGGGGAGGCAGTTGTATGTGGTGCTTTCCTAAAAATACAAGCAAACCGACCTCCTCCAAGCCTATATAAGAAGACCCCCTCTCCATATTCAAGATATATACATATTTGGAGAAGAAGAAGAAAGGCTACACTCATTCCATTAGCTTCTAGCTAGACTAGTTAGGGAGTGAGAGGGAAAGAGTGAGAGGAATAGCGGAGTAGCGGTACCCTCTACTTCTTGTACTTAGCGAGCCTTGTACATCGGGAGGACGGAGTGCCGGACTTGTCAGCCCCCTCTACACTTGTACCTCTACGATCGTCTTACTACTTGGAGTAAGAAGTTCGTGTTCATCTTTCGGTTTTGATCCCTTAAGTTAAGTTATCATTATTGCTACTTACTTACGGGTTTGTCGTCCGTCCTCATGACAGGCGCTCTAGTAGAGGACTCCTGATAAAGACGGATATTCCTGACCAACGCTAGAGTAGTAACGGTTAACATAGACGTGGTGTCTAAGCTACATGTTACCTTAGTTTGCCTCATATCCTCCAGTTGAGGGGTAGGCGGCAGGTGGTGACACCCCTATTTGTCCTTTGTAATCCCCCACGTTCGGATACGGTGTAGAGCTGTAGGCTGGTATTGCCTGGTAGACCAAGCATAAGCCGGTGCCCGAAGTGAGTCTGTAGTAGCAAAGTTATCTTCACTTAAGGTTTCTACCCTTAGAAGAACATCACTACCCAAGTTACCCTTCATCTTGTTCTCCTAGGTAAACTAGCCAAAAGACTACTTACACCTCCGTTCCTCATGGAAATACGATACCCTGAATACCACCAGGTGAAGTGCTATAATGGTACTTCCGTGCGCTTGCGGACTTTTTTGCTTACGCTAAGAAGCACCAACAAGCATTTCTGGCGTCGTTGTCGAGGAACGATTGTCGTTTTAGTCCCCGAACCCAGTTTGTCCGTGTATCCTTTGTTTTACCTTTCTTTTCTTTTTACTCTTCTCCAATGAAGTAACCTACCATTCAAAACCTTTCTGCTCCCAAGGGCAAGTTCGTTGAACCACCACAATCCTCAAAGCCAATCACAGCTTTTAGTTATGAACTCTGCCCTAGCTTTATAGCCATGGTTCGGGAACAAGCCTTCTCAGGGTTAGATTATGAAAACCCTTATCATCACCTAAGGGAGTTTGAGCAACTCTGTGCTTGCCTAACCATTTCGAGCATGTCACAAGAAATACTTCGGTGGAAGTTATTTCCTTTCTCATTTGATGAGAGGGCAAAATAATGGTACACCCACAATGTAAGGAAGGTAGCTGGCGATTGGAAAGAACTAAGGAGCAGATTCTGTCTTGCGTTCTTCCCTATATCCTGAATCGCTATCCTACGACAAGAGATACTCAACTTCCAACAAAAAGAGAAGGAAACTATAGGTGCAGCTTGGGACAGATTCTCAATTTTAACGAGATCTAGCCTAGACTTGTCTATACCCAACCATGTGCTTTTACAGCATTTCTGGTTAGGGCTTGGCAAGGAATCTGCCCTACAGCTCGATATAGCTGCTGGAGGTTCGTTTACTCACAAAACCACAGCAGAAGGAGAAGCTCTCCTAGACCGCATTCTAGAGAACACTCCTCCGCTAGAACCCCTCCGTGTAGAACCTGAGCCAAGCCACGAGGAAGTCTCTTTGGCTAAAGCCAAACCCATAACACCCTTAGAGAGACCCTCACCCGAACCAGAAGTTATGAAGGAAGGTTTCCAACCTTCGGACCTTCCGTATTTTGAGGATGGCCTTTTTGAAGAATTCAGAAACACCTCGAATTACTCATGCCTAAAGAGGCCACTAGTTCCAGTCACTCCTCTCGAACCATTAGACAAAGAATTCCTTAAGGAATCCATCAAGGAGTTGACTGCTTTTGTGAGTAGTGAGTGGGTGGAAGAGGCATAGCATTCTTCTGAAGAAATTTAGATTCACGTCCCTCTTTCAACCATCCACTGCAAAGTTCTCGAAACAATGGTGGATGTGCTTTACTCGCCTACTGTCGGAGCAAATTTGATGTCTGTATCTTTCGCATCCACCTATTTTGGCAATGAACCCCTTGCTCCGACAAACAAATCTCTTAGAAATAATCCTCGGTCGATCCTGAAAGGACATGGAATTTTGCACAACACCACAATTCACCATGATGATGCCATCATGGCTCTTGATTTCCATGTCTTTGACA